GCCACACAAACTGATACGTGTGAGTCTAAGAAGAAAATGAAGGATAAACGGAAAGCCAATGTGCATAGGACGGTTTCAGAAGAACGAATTTTGGACAAAAGTCAGCAGGAATTGTTGCAAGAAAAAAGTGAGTGATAGCTGTGTCCCTGGTGAGCAATGGAGGAATGCTCATAGGCTGCAGCAAAGAGACAAATAAAGCGCCATTAACTGATGCTTCCAGCTGTTTTTTTAGACTCCGTCACCACATGACTCCCTCTTGATGTTTGTTTATCTTTCTTCTTATTTATTCCCATAATTGCTGCTTCTCTGCTGTCTAAATCAGGCATTTTCAAATCATTAAACAGTTAGGGCAACCTGACTTAGAAAATGCAGTATATGGGGGACTGACTCAGACAAACAGCAAGATTTGCAAGAGAAATAACGTGTATTGTACCATTATAAAGGCTATTATTGTAAATAACTATGGCGATAACACAATTCTTTAACAGTACATATATTCAAGTCCTGAATTGAAATCATCCATTAATATTACTATTTCTTTTCTTTTTTTTGCTCCTTAATATTGAGATCACAATCCACACTGTTTACTGGTATCTGCATTTAATTAGACTAAAGAAATTCTTATCTTCCTTTTAATGCACAGAATAAAGCGGCATCAGACTCCTATGAAAAAATAAAAGCCCTCATCACTTTCTGCAAAACAAAACTATGCTAGCAATCCCTGCTGAACCTGCTCTATTTAGGAGCATCAATCCACATTAAAAAAACAACATAAAAACAGATACCATTACCATTTAGTTAGAGTGAAGTAACAACGAAAGAATGCTGATTTTATATTCTGACCGTGTGATCATGGAAAGGTAGCACACCTGGTAATGATGCAGTAGACCACTCTGAATCCTCATTGTTCTTAATTTTAAAGGGATGCTGAAAACGTTCCAGATTTTTCCTTACAGCTTGGTCTAATTGATAGAAATTACACACAACTGTGGATTACACACATTAAAGGTATTGTGGAGGATTTTCACAAGTTTTTTTAAAGACCCGCCCTCTCCACTCGATGTGTGAAGTGACAGGCCGCTGGGACAGCAAATAATAACGCTTTGGGAGGAGAGCTCTCTCCGCAAAGCATTCTGGGATATATCTGCATCCTGCATTTTCAAAGAACCGTGGGCAGAAAGGTGTGAAGGTCTGAAACCGTAGCTCACCACAGATATACGCCTGAACGTGTGCATACGCAGAAAAAGATAGCTAACGGGACGAGCATGTAGGACGGCCTTATGTAAACATATCATCCGAATGATTGACAATTAGGAGGACCACTTATTTAGATGATCCACCCGGAAATAAAAGATTTTCCTCTATACCTTTAATCAACCTAACGTAAGAGCTCTGATTGTTTGATTTTCCTTTCCGTAATAAGTATTTAGTTAGTAGCAGCTATAGAGCACTGAAGCATACAGCATATGGCCCATGTTTAATCAATGTATTGGATGTGCTCTGCTTTTATTATCATTTTGGACTGAAATATATATATAATTGACTTTGTTTTCTGATTTGGCTTCTGACCACTTCCTATCATGTATTCATTGTCTCACCAATATCCTCTACATGTGTGCATGAGCATTCATGCAAAAAAAAAAAAAACATGACAAACTAAAAAAAACAGCTTCCCTGATGGCAGAAAATGCTCTGAGCAGATTGATGAGCAGAAACATTGTCCTGTAATTACTGCAGCTAATTAAAACTCTATTTTATGAGTGGGTTCTAATGTAAAGGGGAGTGAGTACTCTGTCTGCTCTGAATAATAAAGAAAAAAAACTCTGTTTCCATTTGGTCTCCTCTGTCTTCATCTGCTTCCTCCCTCACTAAGTAACTAAAAACAATTCTGATGGATCCAGCCGTCCCATCTTAACTTCCTTCATCTCATTGCTGCTTTCCTGCTTTGATGACTTTGCAGCAAAGGCAGACATCTTGCGCATTATCATATGATTGTTCCCATGTATTATTTGTGTGTGAAGGGACTGAAAAGAGGGATGGGAAAATCCCAGAGCAACCTGTCAAATGCAAGAGTGAGAGCAGAGAGATATATAACTCGAGAAGTCGGAGTGTCACATCATTCATGCGGAAGGAGTGCAAGGCTGAAAGTACTTGTGGTCTTCATCGGCAGTATTTGTGAGGTTAAGGTCAGAAAATCAGGTCAAGGGGATATGTCCAAGTGCGACTTAGATGTTTCTAATTACTAACTTGGCCTTGCAAAATTATTCATTCTCCTTGAACCCTTTCTCCGGTAGAACATACTGCATAATTGAGAAGTAAGAGAATATTTAACCTTTTTTTTTGGTATACTTTTACAAATAGATATATGAAAATCGGTCGTTCATACATACTCATTCATCCACCTTAATAGCTCTCCTGTCAATGCTACAGGAAAGCATCCTCACAGCATGGTGTTTCCACCCCCATGTTTCACTATAGGTATAATGTGATTATAACATGACAAAATATGAAAAAATTAAATGAGTATGATTTTTGTTGATGAGTTTTGAGGGTTTGTAACAAAATTCCAGACCCCTTTGCCTTTTGATTAAGTAATAATCATTTAAACTTTGGTGTTAATGTCAGCCTGAAGTGTGCTTGTCTTCAATTTAACAGGCAGGACCGCTGAATGAGACCGCTTATTAGACCTGCAAGACACAAACTGCCTCGCACAACACCTCTATTCTTCACTATTGATTTAAGCTGCAACTCTTAGAATGTGTGCTGAGCAATGCTTCTGCTTTCGAGATGAGACAGATGAGATTTATCAGCAAAGATTCAGGAGATGAAAAGCAGTGATATGTTCAACGCTGTCAGTCACAATCTGTCTGTTTTTTCCTGAACTGTTGTCTGTCTTCTACACCCGCAAACCAATGCAACTCATGAAGTAGAACCGCACATACACACACCTGTCTCATTTGACACACATTCACTATCTCATACGGACTGTTTTCGTCATGAAAAAAGAGATTTCCAATTTCAGTCTTCCCTAAGTGGACAGCGCTTGTCCTTCAGAAGGCCGGCAAGAAATGAGGCTTTGTTGGTCGATGGATTTTCTGTGGCATGTCCTGTCAGAATGAGATGGGGGTAATTCATGGGACCACCATCAAGCTGTTGATCTGAGACACAATATTTCTATCAACACTGTTTTCATTATTATAGTCTCTCCACATTTAATGATTAATATTTGTTATCATTTGTTGTTGCAAAATTAGATCTGTACTTGATGAATACTCACTACTTCTGCTTAAAAAAAAGAAAGATGGCAGTGTCGAAGATTAGTGTGAGAAAAGAAAATTGAAGCAGTCATCTTGCCTAGAATACAGAGGCAATTCTTTGAATATTTGATGCAGACGGATAGGTGTTCACTCCAGTGGAACAAACTGGATTGGAGTCCAGTCACTCAACTGGAAAAGGCTGTAATTTCAAGTTGTACTTGCAGAGTGTCCTTAAGATTCTAATTTCCTTCATGGCAGAACTGCGGTGTGTGGATCAGCACACCTGGGCCCTACCCTCTGCTGAGGTCAAGTGTGCACATGTGCCTGCACTCGCAGCAGATCTCAGAGATGCACATAAGCAGTTGTGCCTGAAAGTTTACATACCGTCCCATTAAATAAAATTATGACTGAATATTTCCTGAACATTACAGAAAACACCTTAGTTCAGGAGCCTCATAAGACTTGTTTACTAACCAACCAACGTAATAAAAATAACTGGCAGGTTATTTTTTTTCATATATATATATATATATATATATATATATGTGTGTGTGTGTGTTTGTGTGTGTGTGTGTGTGTGTGTGTGTGTGTGTAGCAGGTGAAATAAGTTTTGAACATGCCACCATTTTTCTCAATAACATATATATATTTATATAGGTCCATATTTTTCACCAGATGTATCAAGTAACATGCATGTAACAATCCATGCAATCCACACATGCAAAAAATCAAACCATAGATGTCCAGAAATTAAGTTACATGTAATAAAGTGAATGTGACAAAAAAGAAAGATGGTAGGAAAAATAGACTGTTCACTCAAGGTTGCTTTCTAATCTCTCCATCTCTGAACAGGTATAATCTCTGCTGTTTTGATGAATCTGTTTCCTGTCGTATTTTACTCAAGTTGTGCAATCTTGGGTTTTAAAAGCTGTAATTTAGGAACAGTAATTGATTGTGTTTACAATTTTGCATACATATTTAGTTATTTTGTATTTAATCTCTGAGCCAATATAATAAAAAGGATGTGGTGTTCACTTTCTGTTGAAAATATAGAATGTAAAAATCAGATTTGTACCATTCAATAAAGGTTGAGGATCCTCGATGTAAAGAAAAAAAATAAATGCTACTCTTATTGGATTATTTTTGGATGCTAAAATAAATCAAAGATGCTATTGAAATCTTTACTGTACATATTGATTTACTGTCAAGTGACCAATATATGTATTTGCAAAATGTGTAATTTTCACAATCCATTACTAAATAAACTAATTAAGAGAAAATCTATAATTTTTTCACTTCCCTCAGTGGGTAGTGGAAGTAATGCTGCAAGTGAAATCAAATAACAGAATCAGATGGGATGGCAGCTGTACAAACTGTGTGAGCAAACATCAAAACAGGAAAAGGATGCTGTGGTTCTGTCACTGACTTCTGAGGCAAAAATGAATATATTAGAAATGGAAATATGACTGTTAACACAATAAACCATCGCATCAAAGAAACATTTCTTAAGATATTGCATAAATCAGTCAGTTTTGTAGGGTTTGTTTTTTTCTAAATGCAGTTTCAGCAATCTGTTTTTGAAACAGATGTCGGTACATTTTTAATATTCCTCTGTTAAAAAAAAAAAAAATTCTTTATTTCCATTTAAATCCCCGATGTATTTATAGCATTCCCACATGCTGCATTAGTGGATCATAGTGTACATTTCCACATGCTGACTGTTTTTTCTGGTTCTTCTTACAGGTGTAAGTGTAACCTCCATGCCTCCCAGTGCCTGCTGATTGAAGGGAACCTCCAGTGCCAGTGTGAACACAACACCACCGGGCAAGATTGCCAGCGATGCAAGAAAGGCTTCAAAGCCAAGTCCTGGAAAGCAGGTTCCTACCTGCCTCCGCCAACTGGAACCCCCAACACCTGTACGTACCTCCTTCTGCATCCTACCACTGAGAATATTTTAATCCATATGTTGAGACATGTGGTTCGGAAGTAGTTCTGGTTAGAACTTTCCTCATCTTCACTGCTGGATAAGATAAAATATATATGTAGTTTATCGAAATTACAGATTTTAAATTAAAAAAATGCATAATAAATGGTCAAAATTCTAAACATGGACTCAAAACATGCAAAGTTTTCCACTAGCTGTTAAGTAAATGAAATGTGTCAACCTAACTTTATGCTTTCTGTAGCCTCCTTCAAACCCCTGGAGCAATTCTTGTTAAATATTTGACCACTCCTGCAGCAGAACCACTGAGTATAAAAATGCTCCAAAGCATTATTATACCACTACCAAGCTTGATGATTGATTCAGTGTTCCTAATCCTTCCAAAAAAAATGTATTGTTGTTAAAGCTTAAGAGTCAGATCTTTCACATCTGACTTTTTCTTTCATCTGTAGGATGCATTTGGGTCTTGATCATGACCGAAGCAAAGAGATATCAGATTAACTCACTTAAATATTTGAACTGATGGTACAATTCCAACTTCTCCATTGTTATAAAAGTCGGACAGTTGGATGAGTTCTGCCAGAGAATAACAGTATCTTGATGCTGCTAAAGAGAAATGACCAGCTGTACTCAATGGTGATCATTAATGGGAAGTTAGATATTGGCTTTGCATGTAACTGTAAATTTAAAGAAAAGGCTGTAATTTCAAGTTGTACTTGCAGAGTGTCCTTAAGATTCTAATTTCCTTCATGGCAGAACTGCGGTGTGTGGATCAGCACACCTGGGCCCTACCCTCTGCTGAGGTCAAGTGTGCACATGTGCCTGCACTCGCAGCAGATCTCAGAGATGCACATAAGCAGTTGTGCCTAAAGGTTTACATACCCTCCCATTAAAGAAAATTATTAATTAATTCACACTAATAATTCAAATAACACAAAACTTAAAAAAATAATACATAAAAAAAATACTAAATAAGAGTTAAGTAAAATAAAATGTTGATTTATATTATGTTAAAAAATGTAGTAGAAAAAAAAATATTCTTTGCTATTACCGGGTAAATTAGAAAAATACATTGCCTGCCCCCCCAAAAACTGTTGCCACAAAAAAAAAAGGTCACACACTTAAGTGATCCCAGATTACGAGCATTCTGAATTTTTTTTCTGGACCATTTTTTTCATTAAAGACAATGGGTCCCCACTATACTTTCAGTTTATGATAATGTGTTGGGCATTAAATTAATAAAAAAAAATTTATTGGGCAGTTCTTGGCCTAATTTTGTTAGTTTCTTTAATCTCCTTAGATGTTTTCTCTGTATTCCCATGATTGGACCCTTCTGAAACAGACTGACTTTTTGTGTCATTTGACATTATTGTTTGTTAATGGAAACTTATTGAGCTCACATTGGAGAAATTTATCTCTGCATTTAACCCATCCCCTTGTGAAGCAGTGGGCTGCCATCTTTGTGGCGCCCGGGAGCAGTTTGGAGTTATGGGTTTTGCTCAGGAACCCAGAGTGGAGGCAATGGGCTTTAAACCAGCTACATGCAACCTTCTCAGAGCCCAAGTTCACTGCTCTAACCCACATAAACGTGTTTTTTCTGGCCGGTACACTGCGGCTAAATCAAGTTGCCTCTCATTAAGAAATTAGAAGCAACTTATTGCAACAGTTGGGATTAAATAACTTGTTGTCAGAATCGCCCTGCTCTCGACTGTTTGCTGGAACGCATCCTTTGTTGCCAACATATCACCTTACATATTTTCAACTATACATGTTTCCTCATTTAAAAAATAGAGTACTTACTACAGAATTAGACATAATTTACCTGTCCAGCAGACGTTTTGCAACCAAAGCATCCTATTTCAGACCCTTTTGGAGTAGTGGGCATGAACTGCATGCTTATAATGTGTTTGTGTCAGCTTTCAAATATGGCAATCCCATGCTCCTTTTATACACCTTTCTCTCTCCTGTAGTTTCTGTTTAAATTCATTTTACTGCAAAAACTAGCATTAGCACTGTTGCACAACTAGGTGCTAGAGGAAGTTAGAAATATAGCCTCTTCAAACTCCTGTGAGTTTTCAATTTCAAAAAAATGTAGGATTGTTTACAAAACAATTTTTTTATAAGTTACACCAATTTAGGTCAGACTGTTTTAATATAATATTAATATTGAGAGTTTTTTTTTTCCCACATCCTAGCAATTGGCCACTATCAGAGATGCACAATTTGTAATCTGCAGCCTACCCTCTAACTGCTTTCTAAAAGAGCTAAAATGGAGGAAGATTGATTAGTTTGTTAAGTCTATAGATTATTATGCTGGCCAGCCATGCTGATACGTCCTATACGCAGCGTGTCCATCTGGTAAGGAGCTGGTAGAGCTCAATTTCAAAGACGGGATTAACAGGGTGAGTGTTATCAGGTTAAAACCAATTAGATAATTACGGATGAGATGCAAAAAAAACTCCAAGCGTGGTGCACTATTTTTGTAATTTTGTGGTCCATGAATCATGCCATGGACTTCTTTTTAAAAAGTAGTGACACTAAAGCTGTCAGTTTTAGGGGTTTTAAAGTTAGATCCATCTCACTTAGGGTAACAGAAACGGGATTATTAAAGCATTGCTCATTGTCGCCGCCATCTTGCTGCCATGCTAGCAGAAAAGAAGAAAGCTACTGAGAGTGACACATCATACAGCCCCGCCTTTGATTGGTCTCGCCAAATATGGCCGGAGTCACTTGTGGTTTACCTGCTATGGCTGTGACAGGCTAATACATTATATCAAGTCTCTATGTTTTTCCACAGATGAAATGAACTGCTTACATGATGCGTTTTGTTGGTTTTGTACCAATTAGGGATTGTTACCAAAAAAGATTAGATGAATCGTCTGTAAATCAAACCTTAGACAAACTTTGTTCCTGTGTATTTTGTTTCATTTGTTGGCAGTAACTGTCTGCAGACAGCTGAAACACTGATGTCTTGCTGTGGTGTAAAGGATTCTTTAATTGTATTTTAACAACCAATTTGCTGCTCAAATTTTCTTATCTAACAACAGCTGACATGCAGTGTCTTTTCTCTAAAATGATTTTTGGAAAGATTGAGATTAACTTTTTTAAATGAGCTTTAATAAATTAAGAGGTATATGCATAACCCCCAGCAAAAGAGAAGATTTTAAAAAAAGAAGAGTATAAAAGATGATGAGGATACAAAGCTCAAAGAGTTTCTTTGACCTCCTTGCAGAGAGCAGGGCTGTGCGACAGCACAGTGGTGTGTGGGCAGGAAATCCTTTTGGAGGGAGTAACCAGCCTCAGTAGCTAGCTATGATAAAATAATAATCTAGGGCAGCCCCTCCCCAGTTTTCTGCCTTAACACTGACACACTCTTTATGCACTTAAAGAGACAGCCAAAAACACCAGCAGAGATGCTTCTGTGTGTGCCCTTACTGCTTAAAGCTGTCTGCCTTTTTTCCCCGTTATGCTGTTGTTGCTATCTCACTTATATCAGGACTGACACACACCTTCAGACCTCATCCCTGCTTTTTTAAACTCCTGGATTCAATTTGTGGCTTTTAAGCATTAAAATGCTTGCGGCCTTCTCCAGGTTGTATCATGAAATAAAACTGCCAAAGCTTGGTTAAGACAGAAATCATAATACTCTATAGTGTAGGACTACATTTATGTTAATCAAAAAATAAGCTTTATTTGAAAAAATTTAAGTGGATATGCACTTTGCAAGAAAGCATAAACTGAAGATGCAGTGAGACAGTCAGATTTGGGACAAGAGGGAGGCAGTTCAAATCCTTTTATTACTCAGGAACGATGAGTGGTGGTCCTCTGCAACCCTTATTTTTCTTAACAGCCTTCTGCCACCTGAGTCTGATAAATGAGGCAGAGTCAAGTCTTTAGGCAAATTGAATGCATAAATAAACAAGTTCTCATCTCCTCTTCCCTTTCTTATTCTCTTTCAGGTGCAATTGCTGGTTCGCCCTCCGGTTCTAGTAAGTAATAATGCAAAGCAAAGCAGAAGATTTGGTTCTCATTTCTATTTCTTGTCCCAGCTCGCTTCTTATCTCTTTCTGTTGCACAGAATTTTTTTTGTTACCCATCTATTTTTCCATCTGTATCGCTGCTAAACTCCACCTCTCTCCCCTGTGATGTTCAGCTGGCTCTCTCCAGTTGCTCATTTCTTTTCCCCCGCATCTCTACACTTGGTGAGCCCTCAGAGCTTCATTATTAATAAATCTCTCCGTCGCCACATCCTTTCATCACAGAACATCTCACTAACCTGCACAGAAGGAATTCTTCCACATATCTGCTTTTTAATATTTAGACTAATGACAGTTGTTGTTGATGGATTGAAGGAATGGGGATCAGAGGGGGTTTTGCGTATGTCCTGGATGGAGCAGCACACAGAACTGAGAGACAACAGAAGGAGCAACTGGAGATAAGGATGTGGGCATATGTTAGTTTGTTGTAATGCAGCGTGATTCTGGGTGAGGAGTGAGGGAAGCCAGGAATAAAAGGGAATTTGATTAGGGATTCTCTCTGTGGAGAGGCTCTCAGCCTCCGAGCTGTTAGACAAAAACGATCGGCAAAGTGGCAACATCTACCCTGACAGCGCCGGGCTTTTCCCCACATGGCCCAGTACTGTAAAGGACTGATCCATGCATGGATAAACCTAACAATTGGGTTATACTGCAGGAGGACAGATGACTGCTCTTTAAAAGCTTGTTTGATACCAAAACAACTGATTGATTTTTTTTTTTTTGGGGGGGGGGCAAATAATAACTAATCAGTCAAAGAAATATAGTGCTTCGATGGTGTGGTTATAGCTGAAATCTTCTGTGTTGTTGAACTCGCACAATTTCAGTTTTAAATCACTGCTCTGAGGATTTTTCAATGTGATATCTTTCTTATGGCCTTGAAAGAAATTCGACTTAGGGACTCAAAATAGTTTCACACTTCTGTTCAACCAGAAAGTAAAAAAAAATACATCTGCATTAACAGCAACATAGTTCAAAACAAGAAGATCCTGGGTATAGCTAAAGCAGTAATTCACTAATAGTTCATTCAAAACAGTATCTTTATTTTATTTTTTTGGAACTCAATTTTAATGTTCTTTAAAGTAAAGGGGAAAAAAAATAATTTTCCATTTTAACAGGAAAGTGAGAGTTCAAAGTATAAAGTGGGCCTCTCTGTCATCATATTCAATAATCACTAGATATCCAATTCACACGAATATGCCTCAAGCAGTTTTTAAAAACCTATATAATTTTTTAACTAACCAGAGAAAAACATCTCAGTCATGCAGGTTATTCGCCCTGCTGTGGACAGGTTCGGATTTGTCAATGAAAGATTCATTGGTATTACTTTGAAAACTACCTAAAGACGGTTTGTTTCCTTTTTCTGTAAATGAAGACAGGAAAGGAGCTGAAGATGAAGTTGAAGCTGAACCCGGAACTGATGCAATAATCATCTCTCAGGCTGATGGGTCGCAGGCTGTTGCACATAATCCGTTTGGTGCTTCTGTGAAAGGTGCGAAACGTAGTTTAGTTTAGTTATAGATAGAGTTAAAAAAAAATAGATTTTCCTTCTTTTGTAGAAATCTAGCAGAAGCCTAACCTCATAATGTCACTTCAGTCCTGTCTAGTAAACACCAGGAGACAGGAAGTTCTAGTTACACCAACAGTTGCATACACTGCAGAAAAATCTCTTTCTATCCTAAAACACAATCAGAAGCTAAGTGGTTTTGTGGGTTCTCAACAAAAAAAATACCTAAGGCTATTTTTTTTTTAAAGAAATTGTTCAGTATTATGGGAAATATTTGTCTCCCCTTCAGAGAGCTGGAACAGATGATTGACAAAGCTGTCATGTCTGTTTCTCAGAGATGATGCTGCAGACAGCAGTTGTTTAACTCATCCAGGGTATAATAAAAAACATAAAACAACAACCCTGCCCTGAACGACAGACATCACCTCTAGAGCTTACGCCATAAGTTCACCTTTCATTGTTTTGCAGTCTGTATGAAATATACTGTGGAAAACATAAGGATGTGTTTATGGGCTTGGCTCTGTAAAATCATGGATAATTTTTTGAAGCAGAACAACCCCTAGGAGCACAGTTTACAGAGATTTCTGCAGAGATTATTAAAGCTAAATAAAACCAAACTAATATGTGAGCTTTCGAGGTTCTAAATAGTCCGTTTCAGTGGTTGGTCGTAAGCTAAACTGGCTTGATGATTAGTTTACAAAGAAATATGCTCTCAATGTTATATAAGCTACATTGCCAATGAGAAATACATGAATATCAAACTTGGATGCATTTAAATTATGGTTTTTACATTTATCACAGAACATAAAACAAGGACTGGCTGCATGAGTAGAATTTGTTGTAAAAGTCTCTCTATTTCACCCAGGGTCCAAATTATGCATACAGGCCAACATTTATACACACTTCCTGCTTGCCTTTTGTTATACATCTCTAAGAAAGTTACATAAAAATATATGATCTGTTGAAGCTATCAGCAAACTTCTGGCATTTTTTGGAAATCATTTGAATTGTTTGATTTCCTGGTAAAGACCTGGCTTTCAAGAACAATCCATATGTCTTCAACTGTTTGTGGATTTGGGCTTGTTCTTAATATTTATGGCTTACCTGCTTTTCCCAACCAGCTTTGATCTGTATTTGGATCATTTTGTGTTTGAATACCCCTGTTTAAATCTGTTTTGGGCATGTGTGACAAAAAACTCACACACAGACACAAACACACAATAGAAAATATTGGCTTGGATGTTCAAGAAAATTCAGAAAATGAATACTCATACCCAACTAGAAGATGGTGGAACAATCATTCAACTCCAGGCCTAAAGATTTGGAATCTTTTATATTTATCATGTCTTTATACTCCAAAACAAAGGCTTAAATACATCCTCCTCAGCTTCTACAGAAACAAGAGTTAACCCCCTCATGTCGGGCATGTGTCGGGCATATTTGCCATTTTCGGGCTGATTATCCAGTCATGCGAGAATGTTTCGATCAGGCCGACTTGCGTCGTGTAGTATACAGGGGTTAGCAAGGGCGATCAGCCTCTCACAACCACCGTTCTCCCGATCAGGAATCGTAAGGTCGGGAGACAATGAAACCTGTTTGAAATTCAGTCGGCCGGCGTAAGGTCGCATCCGAGTGTCGGGGCGCACAGTGTTAAAACATACATCGTGAGCTTTGAAACCCTGCGGTTTCGTTGTACTGTTTCAGCTGTAGCTGTGTGCAACACTTGAAAATGTTGCACAGTGTATGCCCAGGAATATACTGAGCGAGGGTAGCACCTTGGAATTTTAGGACACTGGCTCTTAACCTGAGTGTCAACGTTCATAAAGAAGGGATTTATACATCTATTTAAACTGAAAGAATTACAAACCTGAAATTAGGTCCTGTTAGAAATAAGGCCAGTCTAACAAAGATTGAGCTAAATATGTGATCAAAAGAACAATTATGCTTTGAGGAGTCAAGGTGACATATTAAAGCGTAAGAGCACTGTACTAACTGTTAAACATGGTGGTGGCAGCATCATGTTGAGGTATGTTCAGTTGGTTATGTTACTGGTAATACCTGTTATTACCAGTAACATAACCAACTGAACATACCTCAGCATGATGCTGGTAATACCTGTTATTGTTACTGCAAAAAGGTAATGGAATAATAAAGATGCAAGAATTTCTCTTCGTTTCAATAGCTAGATGGTTAAAACCTTTACACTGTTGGTGTTCCTACAGGATAATGATCCCTGACAAACATCACAACATTTTAATGGATAAAGTAGGAAATTATCAAGCTTCTGGATAAATCCTGATCTCAACACTATTAAAGTTTGAAGCTATGCTTTAAAGCCAGTGCCAAACCACGAAACCATGGTTCCATGCATGCTCTGAAATGTAAAGAAATCAACTTAGAGTCAGACTAATGCCAAGACCTTGGTGATAGCTAAATGAAATGGTATGTGTTTGTTTAACTCAGTATTAGCAGGACTGAATGTGTGTATTTTAGCTTACTTTACTTTTTTCAACTGAGAAGTTCAGAAAATGTTTACAATAAAGACGCTTTCACACTGAAATCCTGGGTTTTTTAAAACTGGCTTGTCCCGCTAACATTCGGCTTTTGGCTCTTTCTACCATTGGACTGATAAGCCAGGTCTAACCCCCTGCTGGCAAGCTGCGTGGCCACTGTCCCTCACCACTGCGTTTTTGATGACAGCATCACGCTGGGTGAGCGTTGCTAATGTCGACAGTACGACAAATAAACTGCAAATACTGGAACGGTTCCTTAAACCTGGCAATGAAGCTCCTCTTCTTCGGCAGATCATAAGGAGCTCACAAACCTCTCTATCTTGCCATGTTTCATCCATGTTTCTCAAATACAAGCAGAGTTGTTCGAGCTTCTTATTTAACACGCGACCAATGCAGTGTTGTGACGTACATATGTTGAACTCAAAGTCATTACATAATTTAACGTGCCAACCCGGGTCTGGTGTTCCCACTGTATGCCGATCAGATCCAAAGCGATTTTAACGGTCGCTTGCCGAGTAGTAGACACATCACAGTGAGCTGTTCCCACTGCCAAAAAAAGCCAATTGTTCCTGGGTTTAAAGGGTTTTTCGGCCAGTGTTTAGTTAACTGGGTTTTTTTTTTTGTGTAATCCTTCCGCCATAAAAAGAAAAGTTTAACTCTTTCTCTAAAAATCCAGAATGTTATATTGATGCCCAGGACAATTTGTCAATTAGTCCGCCAGTACTTCAATTTGCTATCAGTTAAAAATAAAAGAAAATACAGCAGAGGCCGTACATCAGAACACAAAGCAGTGACTCTAGAGGAGTCGATAGAAACAAATGTTTATTACTGCTCCTCTAAAAGCGTACACATTTACTGAGAAGAAAGCACAACTTTACACATGCATGGAATGTTAAATTTTAATTTGATTCAGGCTAAAAACATGAACATGTAGT